TATTAGCCATCAAAAACTGCGAAATTGCTGGGTGGCAAGAAAGTTAATGAGCCAATACATTCTCTGTAAAATTTCGAGTTTTTAGAAGAGAATTTCTCCGAAACCATTCGAAACCATAACTGAAACTGAAAGCGTCATTAGATAGTGATAAGCATATGTCATTGAGGCAAAAAGGGTAAACAAAGATTCGCCTATGGGAAATAGAAATGACGTTATGAAGGCAGCATCTTCCTTCCTCTTTCACACGTGCGTGATTTTTCCGAGAAAAGTCGCGGAAATCAATGGAGGTTAATACTCTTAGAGTCATACAGTGGAACCTCGAAAAAACGAAGGGCCAAGGGACTGGCAAAATTTGTTCGCTATACCGATGTTTCGTTACATCGAGGTTCTTTTCCACATATTTTACTATTACTGGAGTGAAGATACCCTGGGTGCCAGAGACTTTTCTTGCGCGGTTTCCGGTTTCTGTCAAGTCTTTATGGTGACCCGCGCGAAAGCCTCGCGGCTTCGGCCTACTGCCGAAGATGTGTCAGCCTTCGGCCAACACCGAAAATTTCCGCCACACGCGAGAAAAACCTCTGGTACCCGGGGAAAGGTAAAGAAAATCGTTCGTTATACCGAGGACTTCGCTGTATAGAGGCTCGTTGAATTGAGGTTCCACTGTAATGAAACCAGCCATTGCAACCACCTAGGGACAGCGTTCTTCCTAGTTTTCAGTGTAACCAGTAAGTCAGTCTTTTGTTGTTATCTTGTTGATTTACAAGTACCTCCTTGTTGTTCGATCGCTTTTCTATGATCCATCAGTCAGGAGAAAAGACACAGTGAACATTTTATCAACGTCTTAAGTAATTAATTAAGCCAGTCAGTCATTAAGTAAGTAACTTTATTCAGCTAGGGTAGCCCATTCCACTTTCCGATCTTTATGATGTTTTTGGGGTGAACCACTGGCCCATTCAGCTCTGAGGCGACCTGTTGGTTTTGACCCTCGCGCATCATAGTCACCCCTATTGTGAGGACAACAGGCGACAGTGTTCCTTGATGAAATGAATTTTCTCTGTTTCTGGTTTCTTTAATAACATAGTTTCACGGGTGAGGGGTATCAGCCCCCAGCCCAACCCCAAACCTGGAGGACCAGGGGACCACAAATTAGTCTGGTCTCTATTATTCGACCTGTTCTCTCATGTGGTCACCCCACTTATCATGTAAACGTGATCAAACTAAATTGAGAGATTATATAGATAGGAGGGTTACCCCACCTAAGTGGGTTGGCTCACCTACCTGGGGTCCCCCACCTCATTGTAAAGACTGTCAGGCCCTAAAACAGGAGCTGCAAGCTATTGTTTTAATTATGGTAATATCAGCAATTAAATTCTATGTTAAAAAGAAAAACAAAACAAAACTCGAACATTGTATTCATTGTTAGTGGCACAAGATTTAAATGCTGTGTTACATAAACAGAAAACTTACGCATTTTGCGTCACGTAGACAAAGCTTGCCTAGTCCCTGTACGGCGTTTTCCCAGTCCCTCTCGCTCAATTCGTTTCGGTGACGTATCCGCGGCCAACGCATGGACCACGTGACCCGAAACGCTTTGGTCGCGTGGAATAATGAGGCTTAGTGGCAAGTCACGCGTGACGTGAAACAGGTCTCGCGAGGTTCGCTTTGCTTGCCCAAATGCTTGTTCGCAGGCTATTTTTTGGTCTTACATATAGGCGATCACGTTTGGTGCACGTGAATTATGTGACATTTTGTTTCGATTGAGAATAGATTTTTGATGACAGTGCACCTCTGAGAGAATTATAATTTTTGTCGAAGACTAGTGTTCGGTTTTGAAGTCCGAACTCTCTAGCTAGCTGTAGACCAGTGCTTGGATAAAAATGTCATTTGTGGAACGAAAGGCAAGAGCTGAAAACGTTATAATACTACTTCGATATACAGCTCCAGATGGAGGGACTGGGACGGTACCGCGAATCGTCAATCCATATCACGTTTTTCAACTAAATCAAAATGCAACGATACAGGAAATTAAGGAAGCATTCAAAAGAACTGCAAATCAAAGCCAAAGACAAGGTAGAGTCATGGCGTCTTTGTCGTACCATATTCTCATGTCTAATGATCAGCGATACCGGAAGGTAAGTGATGGCTACTATGAGATTGCAGGGAAAACTGATGTTATTGTGCTCGCAGTCGTTGGTGCCACGGCCAGCCTGGTTGACCAGATATCCAAAAATTCGTCTCTGGCTTCAACCACCGATGAACACAAACATTCGCTTTTATATGTCGCTGCTCGCGCTGGATTCTATGACACGACCGAGGCGCTTCTCAAGATGGGGGTTCCTGTCAACGAGAAACAGGTTGATGGAAGCACAGCTCTCCACGCCGCCTCTTTCTATAGACAGCAGCTTGTTGTGGAAATTTTGCTTCGACACGGAGCAGACCCAACTATTACAAACAAGTGGGGCAACTCTCCAGCGGACGAGGCCTCCAGCGAAATAAAGCAAATTATTTTGTCTTACAAGGAAGACCGTATCTCACAAATCGTATCATCACTGGTTGGAAAAGGCCTTGCTTTTTTGGTCCGCTTGATTAACCACAAGGGCACGATTGTTGCAAAAGAGGTTTTACGCAATAGAAATGTAATTGACCCACGAACGAGACAGGAATTAGATTCTATAATCTCCAGCTGGAAGAGTGTTTGGCATGGAACAAAAGCCAAACATCTTGAATCCATCTTGAGGCATGGTCTCAAACCCAGTGGCTCAAAGCTTCCTGGTGGTTTTACAATCTCACCACCGTTAAATCATATCAAGTTGGAGAAAAAATGCTTTGGCATCGATAACTGGGCCAATGCCGTGTTTGTCTCGCCTAGAATAACTTACGCTTGCCACGTCGCCTACTCCGAGCGAATTTCTTCGGTTAACAAGAAGTGGTGTGTTTTAATTAGGGCCTATGTGAAGCCTGGTACGTATACAAGGCATCAATCCACTGTTTCATCAGGAGCTGATCCAATTCCTGGAGAGTCAGTAATGCCAGAGTATCGCATTGATGCTGACCCAGAGGAAGAAGAGATCTTTTGCGTTAAATCTGGGGTATCCGGAACGGAAGCAGGAACAGAGTTTGATCGGAATCTGGTGGTGACGTCAGTAGTATTCATCTCTCTGGCCTTTTTGGAGAAAACACCAAACCTGACCTTTGAATTGCTGAAATCATTGTTCGAAAACGAACAGATTTCATAAGTACATGGACAATTTTTAGGAGATGTCAAATCATCATAAATGCAGAAAACGTTCTTTTTACTATTGTTGGCATAACATCGCGGAACATTAGTTTCCCAAGTTTACTGTGTTGGAAGTTTCCATGTCATAACTATAAATGGTGCAAATATAGTTGAGTTTCTCGCTTGATAATTTGTCGAGAAATAATTGTTTCGTTGTACTATAGGCGATTCTTTGCTGACGTCATTGTTTACATTTTTTCCTCATTAGCTTACGTCTTAACTCATAGAAACCGTGGCTGTATATATGAACTAAACGCAAAAGTTTAAAGAGCTGATTAAGTTGAGCAATTTTTGCAATTTCAGCTCTTTCAAGCAATATTGAAGGAAATATTAGCCATCAAAAACTGCGAAATTGCTGGGTGGCAAGAACGTTAATGAGCCAATACATTCTCTGTAAAATTTCGAGTTTTTATAACAGAATTTCTCCGAAACCATTCGAAACCATAACTGAAACTGAAAGCGTCATCAGATGGTGATAAGCATATGTCATTGAGGCAAAAAGGGTAAACAAAGATTCGCCTATGGGAAATAGAAATGACGTTATGAAGGCAGCAGCTTCCTTCTTCTTTCACACGTGCGTGATTTTTCCGAGAAAAGTCGCGGAAATCAATGGAGCTTAATACTCTTAGGGTTATACAGTGGATCCTCGAAAAAACGAAGGGCCAAGAGACTGGCAAAATTTGTTCGCTATACCGCGGTTTCGTTACATCGAGGTTCTTTTCCACATATTTTACTATTACTGGGGTAAAGAGAATCGTTCGTTATACCGAGGACTTCGCTGTATAGAGGTTCGTTGAATTGAGGTTCCACTGTAATGAAACAAGCCATTGCAACCAACTAGGGACAGCGTTCTTTCTAGTTTTCAGTGTAACCAGTAAGTCGGTCTTCTGTTGTTATCTTGTTGACTTACAAGTACCTCCTCGTTGTTCGATCGCTTTTCTATGATGACACAGCGAACATTTTATCAACGTCGTAAAGTAATTAATTAAGCCAGCTAGTCAGTCAGTAAGTAACTTTATTCAGCCAAGGTATCCCATTCCACTTTCCGATCTTCATGATGTTTTTGGGGTGAACCAGTGGCCCTTTCAGCTCGGAGGCGACCTGTTGGTTTTGGCCCCCGCGCATCATAGTCACCCCCATTGTGAGGACAACAGGCCACAGTGTTCCCTTGATGAAATGAATTTTCTCTGCTTCTGGTTTCTTTAATAACATAGTTTCACAGGTGAGGGGTATCAGCCCCCAGCCCAACCCCCAGCCTGGAGGACCAGGGGACCACAAATTAGTCTGGTCTCTATTATTCGACCTGTTCTCTCATGTGGTCACCCCACTTATCATGTAAACGTAACCAGACTAAATTGAGAGATTATGTAGATAGGAGGGTTACCCCACCTAATTGGGTTAGCTCACCTACCTGGGGTCCCCAACCTCAATGTAAACACTGTCAGGCCCTAAAACAGGAGCTTCAAGCTATTGTTTTAATTATAGTAATATCAACAATTAAATTCTGTGTTAAAAAGAAAAAAACTAAACTAAACTCGAGCATCGTATTCATTGTTAGTGGCACAAGATTTAAATGCTGTGTCAGGAGCCCATTTCATGGGCTCCTGGTTGTGTTACATAAACAGAAAACTTGCGCATTTTGCGTCACCTAGACAAAGCGAAGTGAGCCGTTCATCTCATTGACCGAAATGCATGTTACGGAGATTTTGTGTTACATTTCGTCACGCGTGACATTTTTTGGTCTTAGATGTAGGCGATCACGTTTGGAGCACGTGATCATGTGACATTGTGAAGTGAGTACTTTTTCGATTGAGAATAGATTTTTGATGACAGTGCACCTCTGAGAGAATTGTAATTTTTGTCGAAGACTAGTGTTCGGTTTTGAAGTCCGAATGTTTTGGCAGGGGTATCGGTTTTGAAGCCCGTTACTGTTGGAGTCCTATTGGTTTCGAATAAAATCTATCATAATGCACGAACGTGGAAGGTCTGAGAAGAGGGCGCCTGGATCCTAGGATCAGTGACCGAGTATTTTTCGCTTTCAAAATCCAGCAACTTCCGTCTTCGCTGAAACTCTCCAGCTAGCTGTAGACCAGTGCTTGGATAAAAATGTCATTTGTGGAACGAAAAGCATGAGCTGAAAACGTTATAATACTACTTCGATATACAGTTCCAGGTGGAGGGACTGGGACACTACCGCGAATCGTCAATCCATATCACGTTTTTCAACTAAATCAACATACAACGATAGAGGAAGTAAAGCAAGCATTCAAAAGAGCTGCAAATCTAAGCCAAAGACAAGGTAGAGTCATGGCGTCTTTGTCGTACCATATTCTCATGTCTAAAGATCAGTGATACCGTAAGATAAGTGATGGCTACCATAACATTACAGGGAAAACTGATGTTATCACAGGCAGACCACCCTCTGTTAGTCGGGGCCGTTGTTGACGGTTAGAACCGCCGAGGTCAAATATTCGTCTCGCAAAATAACGCTCAAAACAGCACAGGACGGCGAAAAAAACATGACACATGACTCAGTTAACATTTTCTTCAACCTTTTATTGAAATTTTCTTTTTAAATTCTGCATTTTGGAACAAATTATAGCCACCGTATTGTTCATATGTATTTCTTCTATAAAAAACAAACGATCGTTGCTCAGATTTCAATCAACAACGGCCCCGACTAACAGAGGGTGGTCTGCCTGTGCCCAGATATCCAGAAATTCTTCTCTGGTCTCATCACAGGTAACCCAGGCTCTGTGATAGTACCACAGTACGGTTCCAGTAAAGTTACAGTGTTTGTATGGGTTAAAAATACGATCCTAATATTTCTAGGAAATACTAAATGAAGATCAATGAAACTTACTCTGCAGTTAGTTGTTGTTATCCTTATTGCTCCAACGAAGTTTAGTGATAATTTGCAGTAATTTGATCATCTGCTTTACAAGTACAATTTTTTTAGGAGATATCAAACATGTTGATGCGCAGTAAAGATTATCTGTTTCTAAATGCACGAAACGATCTATTCACCTTTGAAGCTTTAAAAGTGCAATTTTTAGGACAGTTACGAGATATCAAATTGATTTGTAGTAAAAATCATCTGATTTTAAATGTTTAATGTTGTACGAATATAGAAATTATGTCGGAAAGTCGACATAAAATTGCAGAACATTAGTTTCCCAAATTTACTCTGTAGTTAGTTTCCATGTGATAACTATAAGCAAATACGGTTGAGTTAGTAAGTTTGGTTTGCTCAATGTAGTTCGTAGAAATTCTCTCTTGTGTATTAGTCGAGAACTGATTGTTACGTTGTAGTATGGGGAATAGATATGGCGTTGTGTAAGCGGGATCTTCTTTCCTCTGTCACGCGTGCGTGATTTTTCCGAGAAACTTCGCGGAAATGAATAGAGCTTAATACTCTTAGGGTTACTAAATGACACCAGTCACTGCAACCAACTAGGGACAGCGTTCTTCCTAGTTTTCAGTATAACCGGTATTCAGTCTTCTGTTGATGTTCTTTGTTTACAAGTAACTCCCCCTCTGTGGTTCTGTCATCCATCAAGTCGCGAGGAAAGACACAAAGAACATCTCATCAACTTCAAGTCAGATTGATTATAAGTAAAACTACTACTATTACAACTAATACTGATTATGATGGTGATGATAATATTTGCGTAGTAAAGATTATCTGTTCTTAAATGCACGAAAGGTTCTTTTCACCTTTGAAGTGCTGAAGTCCTTCTTTGAAGACGAACAGCTTTCGTAAGCATAACATCTAGGCCTTTCCTATGGCGTTATATCCCCGCCAAAATTCAACCTTTTGTTTGCAACATTGTTGCTTTGAATTAATGCTCGTTTTTACAATCCAATATTCAACGTCTATAATTCAACATTGCGCATTCACGAATCAACATCCATATTTCAAATTCAGTGTGCTTCGTTTACATGCGACATTCGTCTGTGTGTGTGCGATATGCTTGCATCGCAATCCAACATTCTTGTTTTCCGTATTCACACACCAACATCCATATTTTAAATTCACCTTCCGTTCGTTTAAGTGCGACATTCATGCCTTTCATTGCTATGTTGATGTTCGGTGTGTGTGTTGCGGTGCAGAGTGCGATATGCTTGCAGCACAATGCAATATTCTTGTTGGACATTGAACTTCACGCTTGAGTGAGCTGACCTTCAGATGGTACGCCGCTGTACAAAACATGTGGGCTCAA